GTAATCTTCCAGTAACCAATATCTTGAAACATAACTTGCACAGATCATATCAGACAATGATAGTATAAATACACTTCAATACTATAAAATAGCTTTAAAGTGATTGTTTAGCTGTCCTGCTGCCCATTCCTTACATCTTAGCTATCTTGTACAAAACAATCCACAGGCAGAATCTTCAACATCCAATAAGTTTATTGACACATCAAATGATATACTAAGTATGATTTTTTTCTTGTGTGCTGTGATTCTACCTTCCAGCCACTGGATCACTATAGCACACAGTAGTAATACCGTGGTGGAAGGGTAGAACAGAGATAGAATAAAGCAGGCCATAGACGATGCAAAAAACGAATGGAAATTTTTGAATTGTTCATTTTTCACATCATTAGTGTGCCAGCTGCAACATGCAATTTTAATGCCGCAATTGAAAGTACCTGATCCAACATGATGGATTTTATTCAAAAAACAAAACAATGGATGGCACAAGCATAAGAGCTATTTTCTTTTTTGCACAACAGAGCTTTCGGATTTCGACTTCTCTATGGCCTGCCTTAGGTAGAATGAGGCTCTGGGTAGGGGAGCAGCTTTGTTCCCCATTCTTTCAGTTGACATTGATAAGGGTTGCTATAGGCACAGAGAATCCACCTTATTTACATTATTTGTATAGGCATGGCTTGCCCTATAAGACACCATCTTCCTACAAATGCATCCTCCCAGTTGAAGTGCCACAAAGAGGCTCCACTTTGACCAATTGCACTATTCCTCTGGTTTATTGCAGAAGCATGAAGCTTTTAGCTGGGCCACTTTGAAATTCACTGGGCTTTTGGCACCTGCCTAGCTTGCCTTATAGGTAATCAGGCTCCAGGTCAAACCACAGAGCACAGTAGGTGAGCAGGCATCCAAAACATCTGGAAGTGTGTCAGATGGTAAAGATTCTGCAGTGCCTATGATTTGCAAGAGAGCAAAGAATTGAGGAACGGGTGGCTGCATAAGTAGGCATAATTTTTTTTAAATGTTTAGATCAATTAATTTAATTTTTTGCAAAAGAAAAAACCTGACGTATAATTAAATGACATTTTATGCTTTTTTCCCTTACCTGAGATATTTACGTTCTTTAGTTTATCAAACTTAGGTGACAAGTGTGGACTTTTTTTTTTTGCCCCGTTATGCTTGCCTAGCTTGATGCATTGGTCCGATGCTGCATCTGTCCCCCACCGACTCTAAATGTGAGAACGCTGACACACATGACTGCTGATTACTGAGTTCTCACAGCCGCTCTGAGCAGAGAGCGGTGAATGTAAGTCACCACTCTCTGCTCTGCCCCCCTACTCACTGGAGCACTGGGCTGTGGATGGAGCAGCTGGCTCAGGCTCTCAGCACTTTACTGAGAGGCTAAGCCAGGTGCTGCTCCAGACTCTGGGGTGGATCCCGACTTTGAAGTCTGGATCTTTCCCCAGCCTGGACTGGCTGAGTGACGTCAGCTGAAAACGGGTGACAGGAGTGCACAATGAAAAGGGCTTTGGCTGTACTTCACCTTTAAACAGGAATGCTTTCTGCCTTTATGCATCATGGTCCTATTTATTTGTTTATTAACATTTTCACTTATCTTCTCTGACTGAGAAGTGAATGGAATATACAGTGAATGGCTACAATGTGTAGTAAAAGTAAGATCTGAGCCCATGAGCTTGCAAAATCAGGGGCTCAAATACTTCTAAAAGAGCCCTTCTGCAGCCCAGCTCTCCTCTCTTCCTGTTTTCACAGGAGACTCTGCGAGCAGCAGGAGCCATTTGCTGCTGTCAGTCAGGGTGAGGAGGGAACGGGGTGTGTGGCCGAGATATGCTGTGTGTGTCTATAGCTGCAGACAGCCTGGCTTGAGAGTGCATCCACATAGGTTCCCCCTCAGCACACAGCTTGTAGTGGAGAGCATCAGTGGAGGACTGAAAAAGAGCAGGAAAGGCGCTGGTCTGTAGAATACCCTTGGACAAAGCAGGTAAGTATAACTTCTTTTTTATTTTAGGAAAAAAAACAGAGATTGTAATATCATTTTAAGTGACCTAACAGAGTTGCCAGCATTTGGATAGTTATAATCACATATCTGTCATACAGTTGCAAGAAAAAGTATGTGAACCCTTTGGGATTACGTGGAGTTTTGCATGAATTGGGCATAAAATGTGCTTCTGAACGTCATCTAAGTCACAACAATAGAATATTGTTTTTGGACAGCAATGGCCTCCGTGGTGTCCTCCCATGTACTCCATTCTTGTTTAATGTTTTCCTTATTGTAGATGTGTCAACAAAAATGTTAGCATGTGCCAGAGATTTCTGTAGGTCTTTAGCTGACACTCTGGGATTCTTCTTTACCTCATGCAGCATTCTGCGCTGTGCTCTTGCAGTCATTTTTACAGGACGACCATGCCTAGGGAGAGTAGCCACAGTGCTAAACTGTCTCCATTTGTAGACAGTCTGTCTTACCGTGGACACATGAACATCAAGGCTTTTGGAGATACTTTTGTAACCCTTTCCAGCTTCATGCAAGTCAACAATTCTTGATCGTAGGTCTTCTGAGAGCTCTTTTCTGCGAGGCATGGTTCACATTAGACAGTGCTTCTTGAAACCAGTAAACCCAAAACAGGTGTGTGTTTTTTAAGGGCAGGACAGCTGTCAGCAACACATCCAATATCATCACACTGATTGGAGTCAAGGTTGGCTCACTCCTGGCTCCAATTAGCTCTGGGAGAAGTCATTAAGCTAGGGCCTCACATACCTTTTCCTCCCTGCACTGTGAATGTTTACATGTTATGTGCAATTAAACCATGGCAACATCTAATGTTTGTGTAGTATTATGTTCAGCAGACTGTGTTCTTCTATTGTTGTGACTTAGATGATGTTCAGAGCACATTTTATGCCCAATTCATGCAAAACTCCAAGTAATCCCGAGGGGTTCACATACTTTTTCTTGCAACTGTATTTAGAGCACCATAGTCAAATTCAATCATTATTAGTATTATTATTTTGAATTATTGTGTAGGCAAAAACTGAATACATGTTAACTAAAAGCACATATAAACCTCATCTTAAATGGCTGCTTTAGTAAATTCATGCACTCACAGTCTTCCACTAGAAATAAGTAAAACTGCATATGAGTGTGCAATCCACTTGTCTTTAGTGAGTAGGAGTAAAACTGGCCATACACTATACAATTTTCTGTCCAATTTTCTGTCCAATTTCTGCCCAATTTCCTTTAGATTTACCTTCAACTATGTAGTGCAAGAGCCTGCCTAATATGATACAGTGTTGTTAGGTTTGACCTCCTATTATATGGCTTTTGGTAAATCTAAACCAAAAATCTCAAGAAAATTGGATAATCTATGGCCAGCCTAAGTCTCTCCATAGGAGCTGAGCCAGCAGCACCTTTCGTTAATCAGGCCAATTTACAGTAGTTTGAAAAATTGCAGATAAGCAATTTTTAAATAAATATGCGCAAGTTGCAGAAGAGTAAGTACAAAGCACAGTATGTGTAGCAACCAATCCAAATTCACTTTGTGTAGATGTAACATCAGTAAAGTATATTCTGATTGAATGCCTTTCTGCCCTCTGCTTTTTGCATTGTGCACTGAATAGGCTTAAAAGTGTTTGTGGTTCTAGATTTTGCACATAAGAAGCCTTTTTTTTTTTTTTAGTTGGCATTTTTTAGTTGGCATTGATAGACATTAATGGGTAATTGGATGAATGGCAAACACTGATGATTAGATTGACAATTACAAACTGATGTGCTTTTATTTCTTATGGCAGCTTTCGAAAAGATCATCTATGGTATGTTAATCTAGATTGTGATGTCTTGATTATAAACATAATATTCTGTGATAGATACAATTAAGTGAAAGTTTCTGTGATCTGTTATGATACTATCACACAGTATTAGCATATTCTATTGATATAATGTTCACTTATATTATCTATTTATCAAGCTGGTATACTACATATTAATATACAGTAAATGTTCATAATAGTAGGCTCCTACAGAGGTATGAGGACTCTGATGTTTGGAGAGCCCAGTCAAAGATAACGTAGATAATTCCTTAAAAATCATCTAGATGATTCCTTAAAGTGAAAATCCAACCACAAAGTTTTCTTTTTTGTATTAGATGATTCTCATTAAAAATAAATTTAATTTAACACATTTTTCAATTGATGAAAAATGTTTGACTGAAGCATTCTAGTGCCACATATCAGTTCTTTGAACAGCAGTAATTAGTCCATGGTAATTGCCATCACTTACAGTGCACCCCATAGTGACAGCTAGTTTCTAATTGCTCAGACAATGCTTCACTTAATTTCGTCATTACAGGTGTGTAAAAACAAAAAAGTCAAAGGCTCGTGTACACAGGGTGTTTGGAAAACTCTTCTGACCGCTGGAAACTGACTGCTAGAAAATGTAGGTTAAAAAATGTCAGTTTAGCCACGTTTGCATACCGCGTTTATGTGCGTTTGCATTTAGAAGCGTTTTTAAAAGATATCCTCAGGAGACCTTCCAAAATGCCCAGAATGCACTGAAAAATAGTAAATAATTAACTATTTCAGACATTTTGAGAGAAATAGAAGAGCAGAAGCAGAGAGAGCAGTATGGGGTGAGATGACCTGTCTTTTCTGGTTGTGTTCACTATGGATCCCATCATGAGCATAATGCAGCACGTTCTACCATTTTTTCCTTCATGCGAATCCTGACTGCACTGGTGTACTAGGTCCATTTGAATGCATGTAAAATGCTTTGCATGCATTTTTGATGGAGAAAAAAGGCTCTGGACAGCATCTGGATATGGTCCTGTCAAAAAACGCATCTAAACACAAATGCTTGTAAACATGGTTAACCAGTTTACACGCGTTTGTCGTTTGAAACGCCGGTAAAATCTACTCCTGAACGCAATTTTGGTGCATTCAAAAAATTACTGTAAACTCAACCGCCTGTAAACGACCGTAAATAACTATGTGTACATGGACACATAGGAAAACATAAAGGAGAGTTTAGGGGCTGCTGAAAAAAATGCACAACTGCTCCTGAATGTCAGTTTAGCAGCTACAGTGTACATGAGCCCAGGGGTGGACTGACAACTCATGGGGCCCCTGGGCAATAGGGGATCATGGGGCCCCTGTGTTCTTGCCCACACTCAAAAAAGCCTATAAAAAAGGTACCAGGGGCATTTCATGGGGCCCCCTACTGACCCCGGGCCCTCGGCAGTGCCCGGGTGCTCAAATGGTCAGTCCGCCCCTGCATGAGCCCTTACGTTCATTTTCTTTGGAAAGCAGCTACAACCTGGATAGAAAAGCTTGTCCCCTGCCAGCTTGCTGCAGAGAAGGACCCTTGCGCTTTGTGTGGAAGCAGTGGTCTCTTTGCAGAGATCTGACACTCCCCCTGCTCAATCAGAGCTAGAGCTTTCCAGTCAGCAGGGAATACTTGTTGCTGATTACAGAGCTATAGGTGTGACCAAGCAAGGGGCATATCAGACCTCTGTAGAGAGACCACCTCTTAAACACAGGGGGTCCTTCTATAAAGCATGCTTGCAGGGGGCTGGCATTTCTTCACCGGCTGTTGCTGCTTTATAGAAAAAACACATTGTAAGGCTGCATGCCGTTTATTTTGATGCACCTGAAATGTATTTAGCTCATTTAAACTGAACGTTTAACTGGGCTTTAAGAATTTTCATTTCATGAACTGGAATTACTTCACACTTTTTAAGAAGTAAACGCATGAGGGGTGTCACCTTTCCTTAATAAAAACCTTTCTATTGAGAGTTTTTCAGATTCTTTTCCCCTAAATGCCTGTACAGACCATAATGACTCATATTCTGCCAAAATCTGCATTAGCTTGAACAAAGACGCTTAAGACAAATAACCCCCCCCCCCCCCCCCCAAAATCTGACCAGGTCTAATGACCTTTTGGCTTATATTTGGCAATTGGTGTTTGAAATGGCCGCTCATGAAAGAACCTTTGACCAGTAGGCCAATAAGCATGCTGAAATAAATTCACCCACCTGACTTTTAAAGTCTATAAGTAACTGGACGGTGCAAACCTAAGTTGGCTTCTCCAAAACCAGATTCCTCATAACCTCTGTAAGTAGTAATATTGTGATACTATGTAATGTCCACACCACAGCGTGTAGGGAATAGTATTGCATTGTGTAATGTAGACAATTATATGATGGGTATGAAGTTATATTGCGTTTAGTGCACACTGACTGTTTATGTATATTCTATGTGTCCTATTTATAGTCAACAATAGCAGTCAGACATACAGGAAAAGAAGGAGAACAGGTCACCTAGAATGTAGGAATGTGGAATCGCAACTGAATTTTCAGCACTTTACTGGACCTGCAGCACTTAATAAATTAATGAATATCATTTTTATATTTTATTAAAAGGAATTATACCGGGATGCTCCCATTTTTGAGGGCTTTCTGTATTTTTTACACTGTACTGGTAAAAACACAAAGATTAACACACTTAATGCACTATTTATAGCACAGATCAAATTTTTTAGCTAAACAAGGGCTTAACATTTTGTGATCACATTATTTTTACAATGACGTTTTATAATTGGACAGAAGCAGGACTGCGTCTAACGTTTTCTCAAACAGAAATGTTTGCTGATACGAGGTCTGATTGCAATGTAAGATTTGACATCTTAAACACTAGAAGCAAAAAACATTGGTTGTGTGTCTGGCAAAAGACCAGTATTATGTATGACTTACAAAAAACTAGAACCTAACTGCTTTTTTTTTTGCAACTTACCTTTCTACACATTTGAAACGTTTAATATTCAGGTCTGTCTTCCTGGAGAAAGTTACAGTTGGCCAGCACTTTATTAAAGGGCAGTGAGTAGGTTCTTGTAAGTACCAAGTAAGACAGAAGAGAGAATATCTTAAAATGTCTCATCACTTTTAAAATGTACTGTACAATAATGCTAAATGTGAACCGCTTGTAATGTGTGGTTGTTTTCTAGAAATAAACGTGTCCCTTTAGAAACCGTATGTTCTCGCTGTCCTTTTATTTATGTACATTGCATTTCTTTGACTTGCCTTGAACTTCAGATAGCCATTCTCTCTGATATCCTTATGGCATTCTGCTTTTGAGTGGAACTCCGCTTTAACCTAGGTACATGTAGGCTGGCATATAAACTATTTCATATTATTATGTAACAAACAGATTTACATGAAAATTTAACCTCAGCCAATTTTCACCTTCAGTCATTTTTTTATTAGCAGATTTTTTTTTTCAAAATTCCAGATAGTCACCTATTAATGTTTATCTTAATCATCACCAGTTGGTGATGGGGGAGGTTTATTCCTTCTTCACCTGTTGGACAGGGGCTCATTCTTGTGGTGTACTGCCCATTGAGTGCAACCCGCCTAACTTCTGGGTGCCAGTCACGGCACTCTCAGTTTGGCATGCTCATGTGGTGATGCGGGGCGTTTCCCTGAGAGCCATCTGTCTTTGTGGATCAGTAGCAATAGCCCTTTATGGGCAAGGAACTAGCAGCCCCTCAAAAATCAGCTTGGATTCTTATAACTACATGCAGAGATGTCTTTTCTCTCCCCCTGTAGAGCTGCTCCCAGTTCCACAGCCTGAAGACAATACCAGCCCTCCTGGCTGCTCGGAAGATGTCCCAGGACAAGGATAAAGGTTTAAGCCCAGCGCTGTCCTTTGAAAGCTTGCTACATGTGGCAGTCTTTCCCCTTGTGGATCCCAGGGAGTGCTGATGCAATCATTCTGTCCTCTTTGCTCCCACTGCTCCAGGTCTCGATCTCATTCACACTGCACTGCTGAATGTATCCTCCTGAGCCAGCCCAAGCCCAGCCTGGAGGCTGCTCCCTCCCCCTGACCTAGGGGACCCCTCCCAGGCACCGTCAGTCTCCTCGGCACTCCATCTTCTACCCAACTCCTCCATCAGCCTGACTCTTCCATATTTATGGGCCAGTCCCACAACTCTACAGGGCCTCCAAAACTGGGATTCGCCAGACTCCCATAAACATGCAGATTAGGTCTTCACCACTTCCTGCTTACTGACTTCTGGAAGGATCTATGGTTCTTCAGAGTCAGGAGGAGGTGATAGAGCCATAACCTGTTCAGTCATCCACCCGACCTCAATCACAGACTCACACAGTTACCATGTGTCATACACAATGATTTTACCTGCAAAACACTACACTGTTCTAGTAGCACACTACAGGGTGCTACACTTGTATATAAAGTTGTGCTTAAACGTTTGCATACCCTGACAAAAATGATGAAATGTTGTCATTGATATTGAAAATATGACTGATCATGCCAAAAAAAAAATATTTTATTTACGGATAGTGAGCATATGAAGCCATTTATTATCACATAGTTGTTTGGCTCCTTTTTAAATCATACTGGTAACAGAAATCACCCAAATGGCCCTGGTTAAAATGGCAAATAAATTGTTAAGTTCCCACATCTGTGGCTTTTTAAATTGCAATTAGTGTCTGTGTATAAATAGTCAATGAGTTTGTTAGCTGTCGTGGATGCACTGAGCAGGCTAGATACTGAGCCACGGGGATCAGAAAAGAACTGTCGTAACAAGGTAATGGAACTTTATAAAGATGAAATATTATAAAAAGATATTCAAAGCCTTGAATATATACCAGTCAGTACTCTTCATTCACTTTTTAAGAAGTGGAAAATTGGGGATCTCTTGATATTGAAGCCAAGTAAATGTAGACCAAGAAAGACTGCAGCCACAACTGCCGGAAGAATTGTTCCTGATACAAAGAAAAACCCACAGGTAACCTCAGGAGAAATATAGGCAGCTTTGGAAAAAGATGGTGTAGTTTTTTTAAAGGCGCACAATACGACGATACTTGAACAAAAATAAGCTGCATGGTCAAGTTGCCAGAAAGAAACTTTGCCACTGCCTGTCTTTGATTCAGATACAGTGAAGAAAATAAGTATTTGATCCCCTGCTGAATTTGATTGTTTACCCACTCATAAAGAAATGATCAGTCTAAAAATCAAATGATCGGTGTATGGTAACACTCAAACAAAAAATTAACAAGAAATGCATGTCTAACAAATTATGCACTGATTTGTATTTTCATGAGGGAAATAAGTATTTGATCCCCTATCATTCAGCAGGATTTCTGGCTACCAGGTGTCTTTCATATAGGTAACAAACTGAGATTAGAAGCATAATCTTAAATAGAGTGCTGCTAATCTCATTTTGTTACCTGTATAAAAGACACCTGTCCACAGGAGCAATCAAACAACCAGATTACAAACTCTCCACCATGGCAAAGACCAAAGAACTGTCCAAGGATGTCAGGGACAAGATTGTAGACCTACACAAGGCTGGACTGGGCTACAAAACTATCGCCAAGCAGCTTGGTGAGAAGGTGACAACAGTTGGTGCAATCATTCGCAAATGGAAGAAACACAAAACAGCTGTCAGTCTCCCTATGTGTGGTGCACCATGCAAGATCTCACCTCGTGGAGTGTCAATGATCATGAGAACAGTGAGGAATTATCCCAGAACTACACATAAGGATCTTGTCAATGATCTCCAGGCAGCTGGGACCACAGTCACCAAGAAAACAATTGGTAACACACTACGCTGCCAAGGATTGAAATCCTGCAGTGCCTGCAAGGTCCCTCTGCTCAAGAAAGCACATGTCCAGGTCCGTCTGAAGTTTGCCACTGAACATCTATTACACTGGCAGGCCATTCATAAGCCTTTGAAGGCCTTTGCAGAGGCTTTAAAAGGGACCTATGATAAAATGATCAGTGCACTTTTATAGATGTGCATCATGGTCTGTTCACTTTAAGGTTATAAAGCAAGTGAAATACAATTTAACTGGATGAGTGGGTAAAAAAAAACTCTGGGAGTGAGCCCAGCCATGTGTCTTCCCTGCTGGCTGTGCTGCTAATCCAGCTTCCCTACCATGGTGACCTACGCTACACCGAGACACAATGGGGTTTATTTATGAAAGCTGGAGAGTGTAAAATCAGGCTCACTTCTGCATAGAAACCAATCAGCTTCTAACTTCAGCTTGCTCAATTAAGCTTTGGC